TGGGTTTGGTATATTTGTACATGTTCGGGTATACGTTTTGTTTTTGGTATACTTCATTTTGGCTTTGGGTGGTATTGTTAGTGGATGAGGATCCCCAGTTTGAGTGAGTTTTGTAATTATTTTGTTTTACTAGTTAGAAATCCTCTCCCAACTAAACTTTTGTACCAATTTTTTGCTTATTAACATGTAGGGAGCCACATAATGCTCCTTTAATTAATATATATATATATATATATATATAAGCAATTATTTTGATACTTAATCATATACAATCTCAAGATCAATAAAATCATATGAAGATCATGCATTTGTTTTCTATGTTTTCTCATTAATTATCATGATATAAAAATTACTTGCATGTTTGATCAGTTTAAAATGAAAATAATTTTTTTTCTAAAAAGACAAATTTTTAAGTTCATACAAATCACTCTCTTATGGCTCATAAGACTGACTCCTTTATACAATAGAATCTAAGAACTTTTCTTTAGTCTTAATTATTGACACAAAAATATTTCCCCTTCGGTCATTTGATCTCAAAAATCATAGCATCCATTGTAAGTAGTCAAATCTCAAATCATGTCAAATTAGATATCCTATCTAAACTTAAAATTTTTTATGCAATACAAATCACTAGAAGCCAAATTAGTTCATAAACAATAAACTTGATCAATGACCAATTACAATAAGACGACTCATGCCATAATAGCACTAAACTACCTTATTTTGAAGTTTTTCTAAAACAATTTTTATTTATGGACAATTTTTTTTATTAATTTTGAATTATTTGGGTATGATTGGTTTTAATTTGAATATTTGCTAAAATTGGATAAGATTTGATTTTCTTTCAAATATGTGGCATTATCCTTATAAAGTTACTCTATAAAGAAGGATAAATGATGTGTAAATATTAATTATTGATTCATAGCGAATAAAATCTGTTTTTTTAGGCCAATTGATGCTTCTAAAATCCAATTTGTATATGGATGAGTAGATCCAAGTTGTGTAAAAAATATTTCTAGTTTCCCCTCTACGAACTTTGATATCAATAATTGTGCAGAAAGCCTCGCATCCAACTCTTGTAATCGGACCCACCCAATCCAAAACTCGTCTAAACTCTCTACATCAAGTTGCTTGTCCCCAGTTTACTTTGCAATTGCTCCAGTACTATGACTGTGATCATGTGATCCACTTCATTACATTATCTGTGCCTTTCATAAGCACTCGCTAGGCTAAAAAAATAAGAAACTAAATGTTGCACTCTTGCATTTTTGCTAAGCCCACAAACATATCGCTCTCTTGCTAGTCTACAAACCAAAAGCTTCTGCACTGTAATTTTGGATTTACGTCTCCCTACCAAAATGCTCTCCCTCACATCAAGCTAGGATCCACAACTCAAGCAAATCTGTGTGCACGGCTATCTTCTTGCCCACTCCCAGAATTGCATTGTTGCTATATGTCGTACATTGTGCTTGCAACCACTTGCTAACCACAAAATTAAATTGCAAACTTGCAACCCAACCCACAAATTGCCTCCCTTACATGGTTTGTTGTGATCTCTCACATTCTTCACATATTGAGCGCACGGCCATAATCACACCTCAACGTTTTTTTAACTTCTCATGTTACAAGAACTTTGGATCAACAATTATGCTTTTAACTACTACTTCAATCGCAACATCAACATTTCTGTGAGAACACTTATCTATATGGCCAACTACTCATCGTTGATCTTTAACCACCAATAGCTTTAGAAGGATCTTCTACTTAAAAAGAGATCCCAACTTTGTTTGACCCTATTACAATAAGTTATAAACTTTTTTAATGTTAGGATAATTCTCATACATATGGAAAAATCTTATAACACCAAATAAAATACCAAATAGTTCATCTCCATTAAAAATTTTCCTAGTTATAGTAAATTAACTATAGGATTTATATGAGCTAACTATGAGCTTTCACTAAAAATTAGCTTATTGATATATAACAATGAATCAAGTTATTTTCTAGATAATTAAAGGTATTGAACTTGAATTTCTATAGTGAAAGAAAATTGATCATTAAATTGCATGATGTCTCATTCAATTCTCTTTGTATCCCTTCAACTCCTTCAGTTAATTTGTCTTTAGATATTGTGTTACAATTATCTAAGATTGTTTTTGTCCCTCATATTATAATAATTTTAGTAGAAAAATTTTCAAATAAGGCTCAATTTTATCAATATTCTATGACTATTATTGCTTCCTACGTGGTAAAACAATTTTTTTCAATATAAGAGATAGATTACACGAGTTAGCAAAGACCATAATATCAAACAAAGATAAAAGATTTGCTTCTTATTTATGAAAATCTAATTGAATTGCTAGTTACTTAAAAGTCATGACCAAGCTAAGGTATTAAATACAAGTCTTGCAAATCTCTAAAGTATGTTGAAAAACATCTAGGTAATTGGGGTATATCTTCTAACTATTGAATAGGCATATAATAGCATCATATATAAATCAATGAGCAAGGTACCATTTGAAATTGTTCAAGGATTGAACCCTATAAAGCCTACAGATCTTTACCCCTCACATTAAATGTATATTATGATTATGATGCATTATTTGCACAACACATACATGATTTATACGATATGATTAAAAATTAGATTGAATTTCACAATAAGAAATATTTTGATATTGTAAACATTAAAAGAAGTGTTGTAAAGTATAATGAGGGCGACTTCATCAAGATTTTTATACATCCCACACGTTTCGCACAAACCAGACATAAAAATTGCAAGCAATGTCTTGTGATATTTTCCAAGTGAGTACAAAAATCAATTACAATGCTCATGTTTTAGATTTTCCTCTTAAATTGTTAACCTAATTTTAAACATTAAGATATGTTGCCTTATCAATAACTCTTAAACCTACAAAATTTTTTTATGATTCTTCCACAAAAAAAGAAATCTATTAAAAAGGTTACTTCAACTGGTCCCATCATTCCAATTTTGCCAACCTACTATGAAGTTCAAAGCATCTTTTCTAATGAAGAGAACTTGAAAGAAAACACATTGAACATGAGTTTTTAATTAGGTAGAACGGTATGCCTAATTAAAGCGAAACTACAAAAACTTGCCTCAAACTCTTAAATGAATACAACAATATTCTCTCAATTCATTGCACTCTAGGGGAGTTGATGTCATACAAGCCTTTAAAAATATCTAAATCAGATCCATTTACCAGGCTTTTTAAGTTAGTTTCTATACATAGCCAATTTTCTATTACTTTTTGAACTTGAATGATCTATAAGTTTCATAATTTCTTGAGTATCAGACTTAATTTCAATTTTTGCTAGCATTTGAATATAATAAGATTTGCTTGCAAATGTTTAGCCTTATTCATATAACCCAATTTTTATAAATAGGGATGGGATCTAGTGATAAATAGTTATTGATTATTGGTTGATGGAGAGCGAAATTTAATTATTTGAGTGCGATGAAGATCTCAGTTGTGTATGTAAATGGCTCCAAATCATCTACTCGGAATTATTTATATTATCCCCTTCATCAACTTTACTTTCAAACATTCTCAAGCAAGCTACACACCCCTTTCTTGTATCAATTTATAATATACCTCAACTTTTTTATTATTATGTTCATTTAAAATGATTTAATTCTTAAAAATATATTTAAAATTTTATGATAGTAAGAATGTTGTTTTTTCTATTTCCTCCTTAAATAATATTTTATGATGTTTGCTTTTAATACATATAAGGATCCATAAAGGTGGTTGTTAAGCTGTTATGGAGAAACCAATTTTTTTAAAATCTGCTGTAACTATTTTAAATATTTTCTTTTTTAAAAAAACTTTAGCAATATAGTTCTTAGAAGTAACTTGCTAGCACAAATTTTCTAAAAAGCAAAAGAATAAAATAAAAAAATAGTCAAACAAATATGTGAATGTAGTTTGAAAGCAAAATTGTGAGAAAATGGCCCGTGATAAAACCTTCAGGTCGCTAAATATCCATTTTTCTAGCCTTAGAGATTTCATTTCTCATTTTTGCTGCTTTACTACCAACTTTATTATATGGATCATCACAAGCTAGAGCCATAGAGTTCCTAATACCTCCATTTGCAAGACTTTTAACATTTTTATGATTACATGGTGCAGTAGTATTGAACTTTTGCCTCCATAAAAACATGATTTTCCTTAATAATTTTTTTATATCTCCTCTCTGACGCCAACAATCCATATCAATGATATGAGCTATTGTTATGCACTCATAAATCTTTTTATAGCAGGAATTAGGCACCCTATCCCCACATCAAGTTTTGTTCATCTAAAACATTTTAATTTTACCTCTATTAGCAACTTAATTTGATAGACTAACAATTTCTCACCTTTAAAATTCTAAAACCCTATCCAAAAGAAATTATTAATTTGTATCATTTTCATTATAATCTAAAATATACATCTATAACTACTACTCTATGATGTGTAATCAAAATCTCTCTCAAAAAAAACTTCTAATCGTTGAAAACATGTTTTCATTCGATAAACAAATTTATCCATTTATGATTTAATTTTGCTAAGTTCAAGAGAAATTAAGTATTTTTTTCCTTTTTTTTTTTTTTATTGAAGCGTTCACTATTATTGAAGCGTTCACTATTGCATTGAAGCGTTCACTATTGCATCACAGCTACAGTGAAATCAAGCACAGCATCATCCACTGTATTTTTACCTCATATTCCATACCCACAATGAATCCTCTCATAATCCATCCAATTAGAACATGTCTTAAATTTTAGCATTTCGAATCAATTATGCACTCCTTACATACTGGATAAACATTTCACATTTTCAATAACTGGATAAACATTTCACATTTTCATTTGCAATTTAGCATATAACTTAGGAAAAAGTAGTAAGAAATAACAGTGTAAGGACTCGTGTTTTCAGCATGGAATTGCAATATCTAATAGAAAACAAATGAAAGATTTGACATACTGCACTTACCAGTTTCAAAGATGGTTACTGGAAGATCCTTCTTAGCATGGCTTATTGAAGGATTTAAAAGAACATAAACAGGACTTTCATTGATATCCATTAACTGCTCCAAGAAAAACGCTTTGATTAACATGATTAAAACAAGAATCTTTGCAACCAAAAAAAAAAACAAAATAAAACACCATTGCAACGTAAACATGCAAATACCCATGTGAACTGCTGGAGAGCATGGCAAAATAAATGATGCAAGATAGCTGAAAGAAAATTCTATCATGAATCAATTCAAAAGAAAACAGTATCATAGAACTTCAAATGGTCCTTAGCAGAGAGAAATGTTGATGATATTGTAAGGGACAGATACAAAATTCACACTTGCTGAAAGCTTTAACATAATTTCATTTCATTTTCAACTTTAGTTTAGTGGATCATTTTCAACTTTAGTTTAGCATTTCATTTTCAACTTTAGTTTAGTGGATCACAACCAGTGATAATGCCTATAAGAACATACCATAATCTTTTACTAACTTTGACTCGCTAATGTAAGGGAAAGATACAACTTTACACTTGCTGAAAGCTTTAACATAATTTCATTTCATTTTCAACTTTAGTTTAGCGAATCACAACCAGTGATGATGCCTATAAGACATACCATAATCTTTTAGTAACTTCGACTCGCTAATCGGGTTGATGCATCGGTTAGTTCAGCAATCAATCCACTAGTTACAAAAGGGTTCACCGGTTCTATCCTAGTTACGAATTTAGTTGTTGTACATGTAGAATTCTAGTCAGTGCATAAAACAAATGACGCGGGCGCTAAAACAGAGCCCTGGCTTGGGCGCCGGAAGCACACGGAGACAGAACCCTGCGAACTGTCGAAGTAGTGGGAAGACGGGATCTCCAAATATCGCGATCGTGGGAGGAGGTGTGAAGGCGGATCGCGAAGCGGCAAGACTGCCGCCTTCCTTTGTTGCTCGTCTTCATATAGGAAGTTTTAATGGCTATATCTTAGGATTCTTCATGCCTCTCCACCTCTTCCTTTTACATGGGAGTTTCTCTTTTTATTTCTTTCCTATTTTTCTCTGGTGATAGTCCATAAATTGTTTTCTTATGTTTATAAGGATTAAAGTTTTGTTGTGTTTGTTGTCAGATTCCTGTGTATGGTCATTTACCCTGTTCTAAGGGAGTATCCGAGGAGATGGTGGTGCTCCAGTTGTATCCTACTCTGATGTGGCGTTATCTCTTCCTTAATCTTCTCCCCTCCCTTCCCCCTTAGCCACCGACCACTTCTGGGCCTTCTTGGCGGCCGACTAGCCACATTACAACAGCAGCTTTGCTGTCCAACTATCAGTCTATTACTCCTGCACTTTAACAGCCCTTACCTACGGCCTTGTATTGTTGTCCAGCCATCCTACCCTCTTCGCAACCCTCTCAACCGCTTGTCCTCCCCCATTGTTGCTGCCTTTCCTGTTCTACACCTCCCAACCACCCCACAGCCAGTCGCCGATCACTTGCAACCCTCCAAACTTGTTATCCCTGCAGTTCTGCACCTCCCACTCGCTGTCACCCACACTCCTTCGCTATCTCCACCCCTCCCAGCCATCCCAATCCACCAAGCCAACTCCACCGCCCTTGGAATATACTTAGAAGTGTTTTCTTATGTCCTTTTATGTTATGTTGTTATCTTCAATTTGTGTTGCATTGTAACCTATCTCTATATTAATAAAAGTTTGTGTGTTTTTGTTATTTTTCCCACTTGATCCGGTATCAGCAAATTAGCTCCAAAAGTGATTTGTGACATTTCCATACTTAGTTGAATCAATGATTACTGTTATCCCATAATATCTCTTGTTCACTCTAAATGTGTGGTAATTAGTTCACAAGTTGGTTCTGCCTTTCCACTTATACCTATTTGTACAAAAAAAGGTATGGGATCTGTTAGTGAGCCAGAACAACTATCTTGCAGGTTTTGAATTGAGATTACAGAGGCTACCAATGGAAGGTGTTAAAGTTTCTAAATGCCAAAATCTCGGATAAGTAAAAGAATTGTTTGCTTATAAAAATGCAAGATTCCTTTCTAATTTATGTTTGCTTGTTGGATACTAATTCTTCAAGTGAATGCTAGTGCAAATACAAATTTTCAAGGGAATCAGCTTCTTGTGGGTGTGTGAGACCTAATTTTTCAGTGTGGTAATCTCTTATGTTGTTATATCTTTTTTATAAGATTTATTATTGATTTTCTGAGTATGATTGATGTTAGTCAAACTCATTACAACAGAGTTTGTTTTCATAGCACAACTTTTAATCTACTGGCCATTTTTTTGTGATTTCAATTACTATTTGAATCGCTTTAATTTGGGAGATCACTAAACAATCATTTGTTATGAGGTCCTCATATTTTCGGGTCTACATCAAAAGTGGATGAAATTTTATTTTAATTAGTTGTCATTGAAAGTACAAATTTCAAACACTATTTGAGAGATTTCAATTATTACATATTATAATTGCATGACGAACCCTTGACCCTAAGCTGTCCATCAAATTGATATCATAACTTAATGTTTAGTGAAATGATACTTGTAAGAAGTTCAATTAAGAACTCATAAAAGGGATGAGCTTTTCACAACTTGGCAAAATTAACTTGCTGAATTTTTAAACAAATAAAATCAAATGAGTGAAAATAGCAATTTGAAAACCAATGAAGTTATCTTGCACATTAAGATGAAGTTGAATCTAATCATAATGATGAACCAATGCATCTGAATGCTAATACAATCAGAAGATGAGACAATCAGCATGAGCTTAATAATCTATATATATATATATATATATATAATCCACCAACAAGTATTATTTCTGCAACATAAAATTGGGAATTTGATAACAAAGTTTATAAAAAATTATATAAGCCAAAGATTTAAAGATAATGATATAATTAAAAATTAAAATAATTGAAGTATCTACTAAGACGATTTCTGACTAAATCATAGGTATAAATAATTTCTTTGAATAGCAAACAATGTTTGTTAAGCATTAAATGAGATTTGCAAAACCAAAACAAAGCTAAAATATTCTAGTAAGGAGAGAGAGAGGAGAACGTTAAAAAGGGAAGCTAAAACAACTTGGGATAAAATAAAAGAAATAATAATAGATAAATATTTGACTTTTCATGGCATAACCAATTGATTAATGATTTTAATTTTTTAAAACAAAATACAAAAATTATAACTGAATTGAACAGATTGAAAAACTATTTTTTTGTTCTAACATCATAACGGATCCTGATACCAAACTCTAATTTTAAGCCTTAATTGAGACTAGACATTATACCAAACTCTAATGTTTGGGGCAGCATTCTCATAGCTTCATTTTTCAAAATATTGTAACATTTCTATTTAATTACAACTTCTCTGTTGCTATTCAGAAAACTTCGTGGCAAGTAATTATTTACAATTAGAATTGCTAGAGTGCATGGCTATAAAGAAATTGTTGTTCAAATTTTTCAAAAGAGAAAAAATATAGAAAATCCACAAGAGCTTTAAGAAAAAATTTCACGATAACTAGACAACTATTTTTTACAAACAGTAGTAATCAACCAAACAGACTCAAAGACTGTTGCTATTGCATCGAGGACTTTTTTTCCTCAAAGCATGTTTTCAAATGTCATCAAACTACTAACGCTAAAAAGCATCCTGGTAACTGCACATTAATGTAGATAAAAATACATAAATAAATGAAGATATTAAAGATAAATTTAATTAAGAGATTAGCGATTGTAAAGTTTACTTGATTAGGAACTCCTTCAACGTTATACAATGCATCATAGCTACACCAATGGTTAAATCTATTAAGAAAAGAGCATATATATATATATATATATATATATAATTTTATTATTTAACAAAAATGGCCGGAGGCTATTAGATGAGCCTCGGTCATCCCTAGGTGTGTTAAATATTCGAGTACCACGCCTTACACACGAGGGAATTCGAACCTGTGACCTGAGGGGGACTTATGACCTTTAGAGGTTGCTCTACCAACAGGCAACAGAACGCGCGCGCGGGCACTCACGGATATATATATATATCACTTATAC